GCAGAACTCTCCTGGCCCGCCCGCTGCTCCCCTCAGCAGTGTGCTTCGTCCATCTGCCTGTTCTGTGCCCCATTGCTCTGGTGAAGCCTCTCACTGCCCTTCCACCTCTGGCTTGTACCCCAGTTCTGTATGAATAAATAAATTAATTTAAAAAAAAAAGAAGAGAGGTATCTTTAACCTTTTCCTGCAAATTAAACTCCAGTAAATTCCCTTCAACGTACAGACCGTGGAACTAAACTCCAGTAAATTCCCTTCAACGTACAGACCGTGGAACAACTAACATTGGAAGGAACTATTTGGAAGGAGAACTTAGAACCTTTATACACTGCTCATGTGAATGTAAAATGGTGCAGCCACTGTGGCAAACAGTTTCCTCAAAGTGCTAAACGTGGAATTCCCGTATGATACAGCAATTCTGCTCCTAGGTATAGGCTTGAAGAATTGAAAACAAGGACTCAACAGATAGGTGAACACTGATGTTCATAGCAGTATTATTCACAATAGCTGAAAGGTGGAAGAAATTTAAATGTTCATTAATAGATGAATAGATAAACTTTAGTAATAATTAAAAAAAATAAATGAATAGATAAACAAGCTGGATATAGAGATTAATAATATGAACTATTATTCAGCCATAAAAGGAACGACATTACATGGATAAACTTTGAAAACATGCTATGTGAAATAAGTCAGACACAAAGTTTCATATGATTCCACTTATCTGAAGAATCCAGAATAGGCAAATTCATAGCAACAGAGAGTAGGATAAAGGTTAGAGCGATGGGGAATTGGGAAGTGATTGCTTAAAAGGATACAGAGTTTATCCCTGGGAGAATGAAATGTTCTGGATATAGATACAGAAGGGTGGATGTACATAGTGGCAATAGTTGCATAACATTGAGAATGTATTTCATGCCCCTGAATTGTGTAATTAAAATGGGTTAAAGTTCCCTCATCCCAGGCACCCTTTCTTCTGGTCCTCTAACTCCTCTCCCTGTTTCCATTCCCATCTTTTTATTTTTCATGCATCAGCCAGAGCGTCCTTTTAAAACGTGGGCCAGGGCCCTCCCTGGTGGCGCAAGCACTGCACAGCATTGTGAAGCTGTCTGCAGCCACTGCAGCATGAGCAGATCCCCAGCCAAGGAGCTGACCCACAAGGTGTGGTGGGGCAGACCTCTCCTGTCTCCCTGCTGCTCCCCTCAGCAGTGAATTTCAGGCAACCTGCCTGTTCTGTTGCCCACTCTTGTCTTTTGTGAATCTTCTCTCACACACATAACCCCGCACCTATGGCCTGTGCCCAAGTTCTTGCATGCATAAATAAATCTTAATTTTTTTTTAATGTGAACCAGACAACATTCCAGCTGAAAACCTTTTGATGATTTCCCATAACCCTCAGAAAAGAACCCAAACTCCTTATCAAGGGCCATAAAGACCGAGAGGACTCGACTGCTGACCCCCTCCCCAATCCTCTCTCCTTTTTAGTCCTCCAGGCCAGCCACGGTGGTCTGACTGTTACTCACCTATGTCCATCTGCCCAGAGCTTGTAGCCTCAGGCCCTTTGCACCACTGTTCCCTCTATCACCTGAAATACCTCTGCAGAGTGTCCCGGCTCAATGCCTTCATTTCATTTAGGTCCATGCTCACATGCCATCGCCGTAAGGACGTCTTCACTGACCATTATATGGAGTCTAAAGCCTCTCCCATCATTCTCTGTCCCTCTTCCCTGATTTATCTTTCAATCAGAGCATGAGCATCACCTGAAATTATGTAATACTCATGCCTAGATGCATGTCTCCTGTCTCCCCTGCCCGCCAACGGAAGCTCCACAAGGCAGGGACTTGGTCATACACGTCCCACCCTCCCACCCTCTAGTATCTACTTGATACTAGATGTTCAATGCATGTGTACTGATTAAGTAACATAGACCTTAACCTCAGTTATGTCAATTATATCTCAAAGCAGCTGGAAAAATAATTAACTTAAAAAAATTAAACCCAAGTGGTCTATTTCTGAGTTTGTGGAACAAGAATTCCTACCTTCAATCGACGTCAGTTTTAATTTTATCAACTCCCCCATCTCTACTCTGAACCTACATAGAGTCTTACTGTGACTTTATGGAAACTGTGACGAAGGAACAAGTGATGACACTCTGAGTGGCTGACCCAGGTACAGCAAAGTCTCCCTTCTGTAAGTTTCAATGATATTCTACACATAGCGCAATTTATGCATCCATTATTCTGCCAATAGTTATCTCATTTCCCCCCCTTTCTTTAACTACTATGAACAATACCACTATAATATTCTCTTTTCCTACTGTTCCCTCAGGGGTACACCCCATTGCTGCTGCCTAAGATCCAGGAGGAAGAGACTATACAGAAAAGAAATGCGTAACACTGAAAGTGTATTTCATGCCAGTGCAGCCTGAGTTTGATCCCTGGCCAGGAGATCCTTGCTGCTCTCCACTCTCTGTCCAGCTAAGCCCCAGCTGTACTGGGCTCTCTCCTCTATTTCTTGAACACACCAAGCTATATTCCAGCTGAAGGTCTTCACCTTTCCCTCTGTTCACAACATTCTTGGCTAAGTCATATGGCCAGTTCTTTAGGGTCTTGGCACCTCCTCAGGAAACTTTCCCCTGAACTTCTCCACCCTACTGGCTCCCCCTACTTTCTTTCCTGCCCCAGTTTGTTCCTCTCTTCCTACAGCATGTCTTCTCACTCACAGTCCTTGCTACTTGGCTGTCCTTGCAAGGAGACTGTTGGCTTTACAAGGGCAAGGATCATGTGTGTTTCACACAGCCGATCCCCAGTGCCTAGGCCAGCACCTGGCACATAGTAAATATTCAATAAAGACTTGATAAATTATGGGTTAATTAATCTTGCACTGGGTGAAGAGAATACAGAGGACCCTGATAAGACCCTTCCATTCCATAATGCCATCGTATGATGGACAAAACAACAGGCAACTGCAAATGTAAAACAAGTAGAGATCAGAGCTAGAGGCAGTAGAAACAGAGAGTCCCTTACCCCGGTATAGGGTGCATGAGCAGAAGGGAGGCTGTGTTTACATGATCCAGGTATCTACATCCCCCTAAAATAAATGCAGTTTCTTCTTCTAATAACTAACATTTACCTAGTGCACCAAGTTTCAGGTGCTGTTTCTTGTTTGCTTTAAATGTGTCCAAAGCCATACAGCTTCTAAGTGACCAAACTGAGATTCATACCTGGCAGACTGGCTCCTAAGGCTGCGTTTTTTTTTTTTTTCTTTAAACCAATAGCAGTACATTCACAACTTTGTGCAATTATTACCTCTATTAGCAGAGATTTTTAAAAAAAGATTTATTTATTTATGCATACAGAACTGGGGTACAAGCCAGAGGTGCAGGGGCGGTGAGAGGATTCACCAGAGACAGAGCGGGGAGCAGAACAGGCAGATGGTCGAAGCACACTGCTGAGGGGAGCAGCGGACGGACGGGTCAGAAGAGGTCTGCCACACCATGTGGTCACCTCCGGGGCAGGCAGGGATCGAACTCATGCTGAAGTGGCTTTAGCTTCTTAGTGCTGTGCTTTAACCTGGTATGCCACCAGGGAGGGCCTAGCAGAGATTTTTAACACTCCACCACTCCGAAGTTAAATCTCTTATCCTCTAAGCAATGTCCCTATGCCCCACATGTACTGTTTTCCATCCTCATAACCACCCAATTGTACAACTGAAGAAATGAGGCTCTGAGCACAGTCATTGAGAGAAATGCAGTGAAGCACTGAGTTCTAGGTTACATAGCTAGTAGATGTGGACCAGAGATTTTTAACCTTAGTTTTCTGACTTCAGAGTTTGAAACTTTAAGATACATTTTAGAGCAAACCCACAAGGAGGGGTTGGGTTTGCATTTTAAACAGTAAATTGAGGAGGGGTGGTGCAGGTATCTAGAAGCCATAGGTGCACCCTCAGTTGTAAAAAAAAAAAAATGCACTTTGAGGCATAACTGCAGCTAGTATCATGTAAGTGGCTGGTAGAGACAAAACCTAAACTCAAGAGCAACTACAGGGAGAAACTTGGAAAGGTCAGCAATGCAGGAAGCTCTGCCAAAGCCTCAAGAAGTTCCTAATTACTTGGACAACCCCTATCTGCACCCTGAAGAGAGGCGGAGGAGAGGGTGTGACTTGCCTTCCTGCGCTCAGGCCTAGCTAGGAAAGGTCAGGTGGAGGCTGCAAAGAGAAGCGGTGGATGCACTGGACAGTACGCAGCAGGAAGCAGGTCTCTGGCCCACTGCACCCCTTGGGGCCTCGAGGGACCAAGGACTCTTGAGGGTGGAGGCCTGGCCTTAGTACCGTCTTCTCCTTTCTGGAGGGGCTGTCATCACTTCAGCACTCCCCTTCTACAACGTCGGGGTGCTCACTCAGGGGCTTCCCACTTTCTCTCAGACAAGGACCTTCAAGTCTCCCTCACCTGCTCTTCAAGGTCCGGGACAGAGAGCACCCCTCCAAGAGTCCTCTCCTCAAGAGAGTGGGCTGTTGGGCCCTCTCCAGCCTCCATGATGGAGGGGGCTCTTACAAAATCCCCATCACAGGTTAAGGGTGGTGGCCGACTTCTAGTTCAACAATGCGTGGCACTCTGCCTAATCGCGTCCCTCCCTCTCCCAGGGGGCAACGCCATGGAAACCAAAACATCACAACTCGGTGGAGTTATCGCGAGACAGCGGCCGGGGAGAGGCGGAGCGAGGGCGGGAACAAAGAGCGAAGGTGGGAGGAGCCTGAGCGCTTCCGAGGTCCGGGGCGGGAGACCTTTCCTCCCAGTGGCGCCCCCGCGTGACTGCGCTTTACATAACCCAGGCGCGCGCGTCACAAGTGTCGTACTCTAGTCCAGAGCGAATCAGAGTCATCAGAAGCACTGGGTTCCGCCCTTTCGTGCTTGATGGGCGTCGGAATAATCCAGTGAACAGCAGCTGGCACCTCTGCGCCCGCCCAGGTCCTCTCGCACTCGCCCGCCCTCCCGCCTGTCGCAGCCCGCAGCCTGCCGCCTCCGCTGCCTCCTGGTTGTGCCTCAGACTGTCAGATAAAGCGGCGGGCCGGGCCGGTGGGGCGGTCGCACGGCCCTGGCCGGACATGGCGGCGCTCTACGCCTGCACCAAGTGCCACCAGCGCTTCCCCTTCGAGGCGCTGTCTCAGGGGCAGCAGCTGTGCAAGGTGCGCGGGCTGGGGCGGAGGCCGGGAACTGGGACGCTGGAGGCGCGGCCCGGAGTACCCGATTCTGCTGGGACGCCCGGTGGGGTCCCCGGGGCAGGGCGTGGCAGGTCCGCCTAGCTGAGGAGCTGTACTGCCTCATTGGGAGCCGGCGGGGCACGTGAGGGAGTCGGGGGCTGTCTTGAGGCCCCCGCGGCCGGCGTGTCCGGGTGCTTAGCAACCATGGGGGATTGTTCTCGGACCCCGTAAGGTCGGGGGAGGGGACGGAGGGCCCCTGCCAGCCCTGGAGCGGACGCGCCGGAGCCCCTACCCTCTTGGTCTGCCTCCAGAGCCGCCGGTGACCGTCTGGTTGTAGGCTGGGGTAGCCCCTGCCCCGCCTGGAACAGAACTCCGGAGTTGGGCGCTGCCTGGGAGGAGCGTCTCGCAGGCACTTTTCAGGCAGTTGGAGGCTTTTAACACTAGCCCCACAATCAAGCGCCGGAAGCCAAAGGATGGTTTTTCAGCATCCAGTTGGCGACCTTTGGTCCTCGCCCTAAATAGCTGCTGATCAACATTTTTTTTTTTACCCCTGGAGTTCAAGTTCTCTTTTTCGTGTTCAATGCTTCGTCCTGTTTCGTCTGTTTAAATGAATAGAGGGGCTGTGAGGCGACAGTCAAGTCACCAAGCCAGCTGGAGAGTGACGTTGAGATAGCCCCAGATAATCCAGAGCTTGTTCTCTGATATGGCGAACTCATAATTGTATATATGACTATTTCCTCGAATGGCATGTCTTTATCCCTCTTTGTTTACCAGGTATGAGAGAACACAAGTGCTCTTTTCGGCCTAAAAGTGTACATATGTACATGTCTAATGTATTGGTATGTATGTTAACCCAAATAGATATAAATTTACTCAGCTAAATTAAACATATTTAAAGGAAGTTTTATCCATGGAAGCAATTACTTTAATCCGGCACACTCCACAAGTGAGCTGGCTGACAGTGACAGTGGCAACATCTGGATTAGAACCCAGTTTCCCATTTCCAATCTGAGGTTTATTCATACAAGTTTTGTTTTACACATTATAACTAGTTTCATCTAAATTCTTACTGATTTCCCATGTCAGTGTAGCGGAGTGATGACAGTGTGACAGAGGGAAAAGTTAGGTCCAGAAACGAAGTAATCTACTCAAGCACCATGGTTATGCTGGGAACAGTACCCAGGTCCCTGCTGGAAGTTGTTTCCGTTTCTGACTGCCTTTTCAGAATTTCATTGTCTTTCATTTCAGGAATGTCGCATTGCTCACCCAGTTGTGAAGTGCACCTACTGTAGGACTGAGTACCAGCAGGAGAGGTACCATTTTCGTTGACCTTGAAAGATGTTGATGGGCTTTTTCCTCTTAATTTGTGCTGGATCTGTAATCAGTTACATGTAAAATATAGATCTATAGTCAATTGCATTTCATACAGATTTCGCAGTTTCCTATTGTAACATACTGATTGGTATAAAGTGAGCATTGTTCCCTCCGTATCCATTGATTACATTTGTTAAGTTACTTGTTTTTCATCGCCATCATTTTATATTATGGTTTTGAACTTTTGAATATTAAGAAATCAATCCCACCGCAATTAAACATGAACTTAATATTCTCAGTATGTTTATATACAGAACTTTGAAGACTTTTAAGCGAAGACACTTTTGGAAATGTGGCAATCCTGATAAAGGGTTTGTTAGCCCTAGTCATATTTGAAACTCTCTTGTCTTTACACTTGTTTGTGTGAATTTCATCTTTAAGTGTGTGGGAAAAAAAACTGGTGCGAGTGAACACATCTTTTCAGAGGGGGATTTTTCAGCAAAGTGGTTTATTAAGTTCAACCTTTGTGGAATTGCAATTGTAAGTGATACTGCCTTAAGTAATGTAGGGATCTCACATAGACCTAAAAGCCCAATTTTAAGTCAGCTTTAATTTTAACTATAATTAATATATATGTTTTTGAACAAAAAAGTTGAAAGAGATAATAGACATCCACTACTAGAATTCTACAATTTATGATACTCACATCTATCTTTCTATATTCATCAGTGTATTTAATCCACCTTGTTTTGATATAGTTTAAAATGTGGACATCAGTATGCTTGTTCCTATATAATTCAACACTAAATAGAGTTTAATATTTTATAGTTCTTTATTTTTAAGAGGAAAAATTTGCACATAGTGAAATACTAAAATCTTAAGTATATCATTCAATGAGTTTTACAAACACTGTGCATCTATGTAAGCCTAAAGGCTTACCAAAATAGTGAACATTACTACTTTTATTTTATTCGGGAAACAAATTTGTTCCCCAAAACAGTTTATCAGTTCAGGCATTTTGAATTGTTATGACCATTGAATTCTCAGGAAACAAAGGACTTTTTTTTCAGTACTTATTTTCAAGGAAATATTGACACAATATTTGGTCATAACATCTGTTACCCCTGGGATTTTCATGTGCTGTTGCTGACAGAGGAGAGTGTAGACTAGAGTAGGTTCTACATGAATAGAATCTCTGAGTTTACATTGCAAACACATTAACTTTATTCCTTTCCTAACTTCAAATTTTTTTTATATGTATAATTTTTTTTTTTTAAAGATCAAACTCACACTGACGCAGCTGCAGCTAGCTTGCAGTGTTGCGCTTTAACCCGTTGTGCCACCAGGAAGGACCGCTTTTTTTTTTTTTTTAAAGATTTTATTTATTTGGGATACAGGCCAGAGGTGCAGGAGTGGTGAGAAGATTCATCAGAGACAGAGTGTGTAGTAGAACAGGCAGACTGACAAAGTACACTGCTGAGAGGAGCAGCTGGCAAGACAGGAGAGGTCTCCACACCATGTGGGTCACCTCCTTGGCTGGGGATTGAACTGGTGCTTAAGCAGCTGCAGCTCCCTTCATAATGTGCTTTAACCCATTGCACCAACAGGGAGGGCCTTTCAAATTTCTTAACCATTCAGCTGGAATGAGGAGAATAATTTCTTTTCTGCTAGTCCATTTTGGTATAACAATATTCTTTTGGAGCTCCTCTCTATATCTAGTAATTTTACTTAGTGATACTTGGAAAAGTCACAATCAGAAATAGCTCACTTTCCATTTTAACCAAAACCTGGGTTATATGAGTCTATACAATTAATATTCAAAAAATAATTAAAAGGATAATGGCCACATATTGACCTTCAGTTAACCAAGTATTCAGGCTATATTTCACTTGGGCACTTAACAATAAGCATATTCTGGCCCACCCTGGTGGCGCAAGAGGTTGGAGCACAGCACTATGAAGCTCTCCAAAGCCACTGCAGCACCAGTTCTAACCCCGGTCAGGGAGCTGTCTCACTCACTACTCATTCACTGCTCCCCTCAACAGTTATTTAAGTATATCTGCTTGTTTTGCTCCCCACTCTGTCTCTGGTGAATCTTTTCATCTTCTGCACCTCTGGCCTGTACTCCAGTTCTTGTATGCATAAATAAATACATCTTTAAAAAATAATAATAAAAACAATGTGGAGGAGTCAGATATTCAAATATTCTTTTTTTTTTTTTTTAAAGATTTATTTATTTGTACATACAGAATTGGGGTACAGGCCAGAGAACTCAGGGGCAGCGAGAGGCTTCACCAGAGACAGAGTGGGGGAGTGGGGAGCAGAACAGGCAGATCGACGAAGTACACTGCTGAGGGAAGCAGCCGGCGGGTGAGGAGAGGTCTGCCGCGCCATGTGGTCACCTCCGGGGCAGGCAGGGATCGAACTCATGCGGAAGTGGCTTTAGCTTCTCAGTGCAGTGCTTTAACCCGCTGCACTACCAGGGAGGGCCTCAAATATTCTTTAAAAAAACTTTTTTTCTTATAAAATCCTTGTCTCTCTTCCTTAACAGTAAAACCAATACAATATGCAAGAAATGTGCTCAAAATGTACAGTTATATGGGACGGTAAGTAGAATTTCTCTGTACCTAACAATGAATAGTTAGGTCTCTTAGAACCTTACAGTCTATAGACCACTAATAGAATTACAGTATTGTTGTTATTTTTTTATTAGAAGAACTAGTTAGGTGGAAAAACTTTTTCAGAAAAATTTAGTGTTTTAGCTTTCAGACTTAGCGATACTTAGTGCTAAGGAATTCTGTGTTTGTAGTCTCTATGGCAGAATTATGATAATAATTTTCCTCAAAAGGCTTCAGCAACCAATCTGTAAAGAGGAGGAGGAAAATGAATTCTGTGACTTGTCTTCTTTGTTTGATAACAGTTGACTATTCATTTTAATGCTTTTCTTTTTTTTCTCTCAGTGTTAGGGTTCAGAATCCTTGCAGCCACTCTTCCAACATTTTTATACACTGGTACTGGCAGAGAGGCCTTTTCACAAATTTGGAAACACTTGCTGGTTTCTCCAAAGTTCAGCTGATTTTCTCATAGAAATATATGCTAATATGTTTTTATTGTTTAGTTTAAAAGCAATAAGATGAACAATGATGTAAGAAAATAAACATTTAGTAATAAAAAATTAAAAGAAATAGGCATGTATATTAGGAATTGGGCTTCCTTTAATAAGTATAAAAATGAACTTATGAAGTTGGGAAACATTTTTATCATGACTAATGAACTTCATAATAGGAATAATTGCTATTAAAATTATACTGGTATTTTATGATATATTTACTTGATGCTTTTTTTCTCTTTAAGCCTAAACCTTGTCAGTATTGCAACATAATCGCTGCATTTATTGGCAACAAATGTCAGCGCTGCACAAATTCAGAGAAGAAGTATGGCCCACCATATTCTTGTGAGCAGTGCAAGCAGCAGTGTGCATTTGACAGGAAAGATGATAGAAAGAAGGTAAATCAATCTCTGTGTTTTTCTTTCTTTCAGAGAAATTAAGGTAGACTCGTTGTGTAAAAGTTTTTTTAATCTCCTAGTTCTCTTATTGACCTTAAAGATGGTCAACCTTTATAATTTCTTAATTTTAATATATGGGGACCACTATAGTCTAATATTTTATGAATTTGTATTTCATAAGAATCTGAATTATAATGTTCAGTATCCCTTTTAAGTGAAGTGTAATGGGCAGATTTCTATAGAACACTGTAAAGGAGAAATTGTGACTTAAACAAGATAAAGTCTTAACTCTTTAAATGTTTCTGTTGAAGTTAAAGGTCACAAGATAATGACAGGCTTTATGTGGACTAATGGTACCTCCATAGCATCCAAATGGCTTAGATCTGGCCTGTTTAAAGCTTCCAGTGGCTTCTAGTTACTCTCAGAATAATTCCTTGCATGGCCTGCAAGACCTTTCCCTTCCCTGACTTTCAGTGTCCTCTTCTGTCACACGCCCACCTCTCACCTTATTCCAGCTGAGCTAACCACCTTTTGTCCTTCATACACACCAGCCTCTTTCCCACCTGTGCACTGACTGTCTGTTTACCTGACATACCCTTCGCCAGAGTATTGCAAATCGTTCCTCGTGTTAGGTCTCAGCACAGACGCCACCTCCTCACAGAAACCTCTTGGTATCCTCTCAGTCACTCTATCATATTACCCTTTTTATTGTCTTCACAGCATGTAACATGAGATATTATTCATTTGTTTACATGTTTGCCCTCCCCACGATTTGGATCTTTATCTATATTATTCTCTACTATATTTCCAGTGGCTGGCATATGGTAGGTGCTCAGAAAATTTTTTTTAAATTATTTCTTACAATGCTTGTTCTCTTTTCTCAGGTGTAGCTCCCATAGAATTTCCACCACCAGTTCACCCGTGTGCCATCACCACACTCCCTTGTGCTAGTAAAACTTTTTGAATGGAAGAATGCAGTACAGAAACTTATTTAGTGCGTAGGCTTTTAAGAACTGACTTTAACTAACCAAATTCATCAATTTACAGTGGGAAAATATACATTTCCAAAGACCAGGATACTCCTATCTGCCAAATGGCACCTCTTACCATGAATCAAGATATGGGGAAGCTTGAACTAGTAATCAAGAGGTAGCATATAATAATAGTTGGAGCAAAATTTTGTAGCCCCATAGACCTAGGTCCCATCCTACTCCTGGGCTAGCAGACTGATCCTGAGCAAGTTATTTACCTTTGTTATGCATCAATTTCATCACCTTTCTTTTTTTTGAAGATTTATTTATTTATGCATACAGAACTGGGGTACAGGCCAGAGGTATGTATAGAAGGGTGAGAGGATTCACCAGAGACAGAGCGGGGAGCAGAACAGGGAGATATACTGAAATACACTGCTGAGGGGAGCAGCAGGCAAGTCCGGAGAGGTCTGCCGCACCATGTGGGTCACCTTCCTGCCCGGGGATCGAACTTAGGCTGCAGTGGCTGTGGATACCTTCATAGCACTGCACTTTAACCTTTTGCGCCACTAGGGAGGGCCCCTAATTTCATCATCTTTCCAAAGGGAATAACAGCAGCTACTTCACAGTAACGTAGGGAGATTTAATTGTGATAGGTATGTAAAATATTTCATTTTGAACCTAGGACATAATATAACTCAACAAGTGCTATCTATATTATTATTAGACTATAATTAATTTATTTTGTACCTTCTTAGTTACCATCCTATGTTAAGAGTTTGGATATTTTTAGGCATCCATAGTGACATGTTCATAAACTTTAGGAAGGCTGAGCTTAAGGACTGAGGTTGAGTGATATGGACTCAGAATGCCTGATTTAAAATTTTGGTGTGACTTTAGGCAAGTAAATCTCTCAGTGCTTCTGTAAATGAGGCTGATTAGACCTCATCATTATTATGAAGGTTCAGAGTTTTTGTGTGAAATCCTTTGAAAGGAATATGGTCCATGGTAAGTACTAAATCAGTGTTATCTATGGTTATTTCACTATGGTCACTCAGTTCTCAGAGGGCAACTTTATACTTTTAAAGTTTAGTTTTGAAGGTGAGCTCTGAAATAGGGTCCTATGGTTTGGTGTTCAAATTTTTAAAGGTTTTTAAAATTTATTTATGTATACAAGAGCTGGGATATAGGCCCAAGATGCAGTGGGGTGAGAGGACTCCCCAGAGACAGAGTAGGGAGCAGAACAGGCAGATCGACTGAAATACACTGCTGAGAGGAGCAGCCGGCGAGACAGGAGAGGTCTGCTGCACCATGTGAGTCAGTTCCCTGGCCAGGGGTTGAACTCATGCTTCAGTGGCTGGCGATAGTTTGATAACACTGAGACTTAAACCCCTGTGCCACCAGAGAGGTCCTTGGTGTTCAATTTTTATGTTCAGTGCTGGTTCTCTCTTGTTAGAGTTGCCTTATTTTCAAACCTTTTTTCAGTGAAAACTCTCCTGGGTGAGGTCTTCCAGAGTGTTTTAAAGTCAGTCTCTAAAGCCATATCCCAGAACCATGAAAGAACCAGATCCAAGTTTGGTTTCAAAATTTATACATTCACTAAGAAACAATAAATGCCTGTATATCAAACACTGTCCTCCTATTAGTATATTCTTATGGGATGAGAACACAGACGGAAATAAGTAAATACAAATTTTAGGTATAAGTGCTATAAAGAAATGGAATGTATAGTAGAGAGCGGCCAGTTTAGACTGGATAGTCAGGAGGACATCTGAGGAGATAATATTGAAGTGAAACTAAAATGATGGGAAGGAAGCAGCAGTAAGAAACTGAAGGGCGAAGATTCCACAAAGAAACACCAGATATAAAAAGTCCCTGAATTGGCCCGCCCTGGTGACGCAACGGGTTGGGACATAGCACTGCAAGCAGCCCAGACTTACATCTAAGAACCCCTGTCTGGCAGCTATGTAAAAATAGTTTATAAGAGAGGAAGTAGTGAGATCATTTGGGTGACTTACGGTGAAAGGTAAGGACCAGCAACAATGTTACTTCAATTAAATTAAATATTACTTCAAAAATTATGATCACATTTTAAAAGGCAACTTAAAATGGATGGAAGCAGTAGAGTAGTTGGAAAGAGAGAGATGGATTTAGACTTATGGACTGAGGGCGCATTAAGCAAAGAGGCTTTTGCTAACAAGTTAAAAACTGCATTAGATAAATGATGTCCTACCTATGTTCTAGATAGGTCACAAGATGTAATTTCAGGAATAAGATTTGAACACTAGAATTCTATAAAATAGCAGCACAATTCTTCTCCAACTTGAGTAATTTTAAACAGCTCTGCTCCCTGCCACCTGCAACAGGCTGCCCCCCAGTGATTTTGCTACTTGAGTGTTACATAGAGGTGCCCCAGCTTCAGAGGCTTGCAGAAGCCCCTTTCTGCTTTCCTAGCCCAGAACCCTGCTCCCTGGTGCAGGGCTTCTTCTGCCCAAAGGAATCAACTCTTTCTTTTCTTTTCTTTTTTAAAGATGTGTTCATTTATGCATACAGAACTGGGGTATAGGCCAGAGGTGCAGGGGCAGTGAGAAGATTCACCAGAGACAGAGTGGGGAGCAGAACAGGTTGACTGATGAATTACACTGCTGAGGGGAGCAGCAGGTGGGTCAGGAGAGGTCTGCCACATTAAATGGGTCTCTCCTCCAGGGCCAGGAACTGGCTTCTTAGTGCTGGGCTTTAATCTGCTATGCCACCAGGGAGGGCCCAGAATCAACTCTTTCTAACACGAGTGACATGGTGGGCCATTACCAGGGGCTGGGGCCCAGAAAGCTATTAGCCATCAGTCTTTTTCTGGGTACATTTTTTTCTATTTGAACAAAAAGTGGAGACTTTTATTTTGTAAGGCATTTATAAGGTACTGTAACAAGTATACATTTTATATTTCATCTCTCCTCTCCCTGCTGAATTTTCCTTAATGAGTACCATGGAGATATTTGTGTCTTTAGAAATTCTTGTGGGAACTTTGTTCTGGTCTGTATTGTTATGGTGAAGAAAAAACAAAACAAAATGATATAAAATCAGCAGAACATATTTATTAAGCAACTTTTTTTTGTGCCCAGCTACTGAGCTTTTCTTACATTATATCAATAAATCTGTGCAACAGCCTCTGAAGTAGGTACTGTTATCCCTTATTTTTTGGATTAAGAAGGTGAGCCTGAGAGAGTTCAAATAACTTGCCCGAGGTCACACAACTCGTAAATTGCAGAGATGAGACTTAACCTAGAGGTTCTAGGTCCTAATACCAAAGTTCTCCGCCACTGAACTTAACTACATTCCCTCCTCTTTATCATTATTTCCTTGTCTTTCAGGTAGATGGAAAATTGCTGTGCTGGCTGTGCACACTTTCATATAAACGGGTCCTTCAGAAGACCAAAGAGCAGAGGAAACACCTGAGCAGCTCTTCCCGGGCCAGCCATCAGGAGAAGGAGCAGTATAGTCGGCTGAGTGGCGGCAGCCATTATAACAGGTAGTCCCCAGAAGATGAGAATAGAAGTAGAGGCACTTACTCACATGGAATACACAGCTAGCCATGGAAGATAACCGTTTGTTACAAACTTTCCTGTCTTTTTTTCTCTAGTTACTAATCTCTCAGAGGAGTCACCTTTGTCATATTTTATAATTTGTCTACCTTTCAAGGGCCAGAGAGACTTCCATGAGCTGTCAGGATTTGCTCTCTTGGTTTGTATCATGTCTGAAAGGCAGTGGGGCTGGCTTCGCATTCACATGTCACGTTCTCCTCCTTTAGAAGAGGGGTTCTCTCCCTGAAGACTGGACATTTCACTTTCTCAGAGATAAAGCTTTTGGTGCACTTGTGGTTAGATAATGTTAAGTTTGTTTTGATGGTATCCAATCAAAACGACAGCCTTTCCTTGTTGTCTTCCTTCCTTCCAGAGTATCTTTAATGGTTATGGAGTTCTGACTCTGGAATGGGTCCTGACTCTGCCAGGCTCTCTGTGTGGGGTCTTGGGCAAATTCTTTCATCTGTCAAATGAACATTAACCGTACTCAATTAGTATTACCATTATGATTTTGTTTGTTCATGTAGCATAGATTATTGTGGGCCAGAGACTCTGATAAGAATTCAGAGCTGTTCTCCAAGAATATGCAGTGGAAACTGATGTCAAGATACAGGCATGAGAAGCAGTAGTAATAATTAACTACCGATTGAAGTTTTGTTGACCTTTCTCTTAGTTACTAGTAAGCAGGTAATAATTAAGATCAGGAATCTTGGGAAGTTATAGAAATGAGCTCCCCATACATCCAGGATCTGTGAAATCAACATTTTGGTGGGTTTTTACAATTGAAGAACCATTAGCTCTTGTTGTATCAGAGAGCTAAATATTATATTAATCCCATTTGATATACTTGTACTGTGATATTTTATTAATCTTTGATGTCTAATGTGTGTCTCTCTATTTTTGCCATTAAAAGCCAGAAAACACTCTCTACGTCTTCGATTCAAAATGAAATCCCAAAGAAAAAATCCAAGTTTGAGTCTATCACAACCAATGGAGACAGGTAAGCCAATTAGATTATGTGTGAGTGCTTCTGTTTGAAGTGTGTACACAGTTCCTGAAACAGGGAAACATTTTAGAGTGTGTCTTGGAGTTAGTTTGTGATGGTCAGTGAACCTCTTAGAGCTATTACACTAGCCACTTTATAGCTTATAAACAGGCAGTATTGATATTTGTTTGTAAATCTAATCTTGTCATTAAAAGACAAGAACATACAACTGAATTTAATAGCAATTGAATTCTTCAGTCTACAAATAACTCCCTCACTAATTTAGAAGTCAGCTGCTGGATGCCTGTAGGGCAGGCAGGGCAGGAGTCAGTCTGGAGAGACAGCACAGAGACAGGTTGGAGTTAAGGCAGAATTTCTCCGCCAGAGGGGTAACTCATGCTTTTTTAGCATTCATAAGCTAGCCCAATGCAGTCACTGGATCAGGAAAGAATGAGATGCATTTAAATAATTTTTGTTTCATTTTAAGCCTGTCTTAAATGCACATTTTTATTCCTCGCTTTCCTCTCTTCTTCTCAGCGACGCTTCCTCTTACGAGCTGCTTTGTCCTAATATCCAGAGTGCCCCATCCGTGTTGGTGCAGTGGGCTGCTTCCCAACAGAGTCTTGGGGCCAACCATTTTCCTGTTCCTCCAGGCCCGGGCATCCTGAAGTGAGACTACCTGACACACTCTTCCCTAAAATCCTTGGAATCATCTCCATTCTGAAAACTCCCATTCTCGGTTCTCCCTCCCAGCCAATGGTGGATATGGGACCAGAGCAGCATATAGGTTTTCGAAAGGAATTTTGTTTGTTTAGGGGAGTACAAAGCATCTGTGGAGTTGACTCTTTACTGTTCACATTTTCGTTAACTTGATTTCAGACTCAGCAAGGTGTCTTTTTAGGAACTAGTATCATTGATTTTAAACTTCTTGAATTGAACTTCTGGAAATGCTTAATTTAGATATTCAGGTTCCCTGGGGGAAGGTACCATATCAAATACCTTTCTGATCAGCATTACTGAGCAGCCAGTCCTGCCATTCTGAAAAAGTTGTAAACACAGGTTGTCCCAATACCTCGGCCTGTGTGCATAATCCTGCAAAAACTACTTCAGGGATGAACCTTTCAGAATACCCTGCTTTATAAAGGCCGAAACTAAAGACTGCAGCCTTTAGACTCATCACCTTGTTTGTGCTATTTATGACCCAAGCCAAAAACTTAAGCTTTCTATTTAGCATGTTTTTTTGGCATCCAGTTATGAGCAATGATTGTTCTCCCCAAGTAGGATACTTATCTTACTTAGGTACATGGTCTTTTGTGTCTTCTAGAAAGATCTTTAAAAATCTTTTTTTCCTTGAAGTATACGTAATAATTTTTTAAATGCCGCTAATAACTTGAAAATGTGGAAAAAATTTTCTGCCACAAAAATTACGTTCATGCATATACAAATTCCACTTGAGTGGTCCTGCATGGGCAGTCGTAACAGTCTTCTCCACTGGTTTGCTTTTCTTTTAAAAATTCACACAGCGAGGTGAATTACATTTTCCCTTTCCTTTTTGTGCTCTTCCCCCTTACTTTTCATTCACTTTCAAAACATCTGACAAGCTATTTTTTTATGGTACTTTTTTACTGAATCTTTTTTATTCCTGAATATTTATTTTGAATTCAGTTCAAAATGTTACCAGTCTTGTTTCTGAACTATCTTTTGTAGCTGTCTCCCAGTTTTTAATTAGTCACAGTCCACTTTCCTGCTCCCACGTTTCAAATATACATGTACTTTTAAATGTATGCTCTATTCTTTCAGCTTTTATTTCCTCATGTCTTCTGCAGGTTGCTTATTGCCATTGACTGCTCTACACTGCCAGTCTCCTTTTTAAATACTGAGGCATATTTGGCTGCATTTTTCCATTTTCCTTACCCGCTGGGCTTTTATATTACTGGTCCTTTTCATTACATAGTTTTTAAAATAAGCCCATTCCTCTACTGGTTTTATACCTATGCAATGCCTTAGCATTTTTATTTTTAGTATCATAAAATTCACAACTTCTCTCTTGTTATTTTATAGTTTGTTGAAAATGTAACAAACTTTTCAATTTGAGGAAAACCTAGGTTCATTTCTAGCTTTTCTTCCTGAGAAAACACACCAGCTACATTTTGATCATACTTGTTTACTGTCTTGATCATACTTGGGTGCTGCACTGGCAGTGAAAGGCAAGCTCCACAGAGGGGCTCCCTAGGCACACCTTGCGGCTCACTGCTTCTCAAGGAATTTTTTTTCCTTTCCTTGTATTTTATTCTTCCTCTGAAATATGATGGGAAGATTAGACTTACTCTGTGTGTCATTTGAGGACCGACTCAGGACCACTGAATAGGAATGACAGGGTGGCAGGTTTGGGTCAACCTGAGCATGACTTTTTATTATTACAGTTTCTTATTAAGAGGTAAGAAACTTCCTAGAGAAGTAAGTTCCCTGCCATTGGAGATACTTGGAAAGTGACTGAATCTGATTTTTCTGCCTTTGTCACCTGGCTTTCTTTTTTTATTTTGATTCCCAGCAATTTTTATTAGTCGGAAGGTAGAGGTCAGGCCCCAGCATGGGACAGACACAACTGGTTTGTCAGCAGTTTCTTGGTATCAGAAGAATCCTTTCCCCAAAAGCAGCTAAAACGGAGCATTCAGAACTTTGGGAACAAGAGGTCATTTATATTAGTCTGTTACTATATTTCACTCATTACTCCAGTTACAGGTTTCAGTAGATCCTGTTAGGATGAGGGAAGAGTCTCCCAGGGTGTACTGAAACCAGTGGAGACTGTGATAGGTCCTTTCAGTGTTTTCTCATGCATGTTTTGTTATTTTGCTTTTCTTTCACTTTGAAACGTTTGTTTCTTTAATTCAGTAACATTTTTTGCTTTTATTTTTTGGTTATCCAGTAATTCTGCATATTTATCAGTTATGAAAACATTGATCCATTCTTCTTCTGACACCCTTTTTATATGTTTCATTTATACTAAGGAAGGAAATATTCTTAAATGGACTGTGTCTTCCCATTCTAGCTCTAGAAATGTGACTTGGTAACTATGAGAAAGTCTGTCCAGTGATTCACTGTGCTATCTGGAGTTTCTCCCTGTGTGGAGAAATGCTGCTTATTAGATGTGGCATAAAATATAGGGAAGAGCCAACGGCAAGAGTTAGTTTTGTATTGATACTGGGAGTTGCAACTGCGTATTCCAGTTTCTTCTTAGGAAAAGCAGGTTTGTATTTTATATTAAAGATTGCCCTTGGAGAAGTGAAAAGCTTCCTTGGGAAATCTCTAGAGAAAGGCAGGATTTGACCATCTTGGCAGTGATTCCTTGTGTTGGGTCTAAGACATGTATGACCAGGCGCAGACAGCTATGGCTCCTCATCCTAGAAATCAGCCATTGTATGTACATTGCACATACAAAACTATACATACAAGCTCAGGGCTTTCACAGATCCCTGAAGCTGAGCCCAGTTAAAAGGTATGAGCTTTCTTTGTACTTGGACAAAATGAAGTACTGAGATATTGGGAGGAATCTGTTGAAAGCCAAAGTTGTGATGTGACTCTGTAGCTTGCCATCTCTTTGTTGTTTCCTGATGTTGTTTCCAGTGTCACAGATGAATTCTTGATATTGAAAGTGACAATCAGCCAGTTGTAGTGTAGGGACAGCTGACTCCTTCCTATTTATTTAACCTTCTTTTTGCCATTCTTAAAAAGGCTTCTTAGCAGCTGTACCTCATCTTTGAAGCAGAACAAAGAACCAAAAAGACAAATTCTGTGGAGAGTTTTAAAGAGAAATTAGTGTGCTTATAATTAATCCAAAGTCTAGGGAAATTGTCTGTTCACAAAAACTTATGATTGTTTCAACCTTAAATAATTGGGTATCTTCAATGAACCTAAAACAGAGTATCCTTGGCTTTTGTGAGACAATTTATATTGGTCTTGACCAAGAGAAAAGATGCCGCAGGAGTGCTGTGGGCTGTGGCTGTAGCTGGTGTCATCATCTGGTTAGCACCTCGCCTGCGTACTTTAGCACATGCTTTTGAATCTGAGCATTGTACTTGAGGCTGGGGATTAAAGTAATTGCTCCTACTCATGAGCTTGCAGTCAAGTGGCATATGATGTGTTCTCAGGTAGAAAAATCGCTGTCCACCCAAGCAATGGTTTTATCCCCCACCATTTTTTCCACTCAGCTTTTCTCCAGACCTGGCTCTAGACTCACCAGGCACTGACCACTTTGTCATCATTGCCCAGCTGAAGGAAGAAGTGGCTACTCTGAAGAAGATGCTTCATCAAAAGGATCAAATGATTTTGGAGAAAGAGAAGAAGGTATGGTTTATAAAGTCAATGTCTGTCAGTCCAGAACGATGTCAGAGAGTAAGATAAGTGGTATTTGATAGGTACTTTCCATTCACTGATGCTTTGACAAAGTTGGGATGTCGTGGGACAAACCTTGCTATCAGCCAGGAAGACTCATGCCATGGCATTACCTGGGTGAATCTATCTCAGTCAAATGGGTTTTGAAAGTTGATTTTTCATGGCATTTGAAGGGAGCTTCCACTTCTGAGGGGAGGACTTGTGTTAACCTAACTCACAGATATGACGTATAACACTGCAGTATCCACCTCCAGTATCTGCCTATCGCAGACTACAGTGTGTCTCAGCGTGAGCTGCCTTGGAAGGTGTAGTCAGAGGTGCTGAACAAGCATTGACTTGGGACATGAAGAAGTAGTCGTGTAATTGGAATTTTCCTTTTTTTCTAAATGATTCATCATTGGTTACAACACTATATATGATTCAGAGGTATAGGATCACAGATGTCTGTTACCACACCACACCCACCACCAGGGACCCACAGTCCTCCACCAGAGTCCATTGGGCCCCCTGTAACTGGAATTCCTGATGCCTCCATCTCTGGTTTTGGAATGGCTGTATCTATGGAAGAGTAATGCTGAAAATATGTGGGTCAGGTCTCCCCCTCCTTGGTCAGTGCTCAGGTAGGCCTTCCTCTGTGACTCTTACATCATTTGGCTCCATTACTGACAACTCCCTTCCTGAGTGACCCACTCTTTAAACATGTTGATATCTTCAGTGAAATTTTATTTTGGTCTAAGGGTCATCCTTCCTCTTCATAGAAACTTTATATCTTTGCTCTAACTCATTTCTATTTATTTTAGTTTTTTCCAGATTCTAAAAAATTATCACATTTTGCCTTACAGTATTAATAATAACATTAATAGTTCACAATTATTTAATGTATCCTATGTGCCTGATAATTCTAAGTGCCTTATGTATATTGCCTCATTTATTCTCATAAATAACCCTTTGAAGGAGGAATTACTGTTAATCATTTTATAGATGAAAATGCTTCCTGTGTTTTTCCTATCAGAGTTCAATCCTTTCCCTTAGCTCTGTTTTTTTCCTTAAGACTGTATGTTGTCTTATGCTGTGACTCATTCTGAAGGGCTAACAAAGACATAACACTAAAATCACATACAGTCTTGCCATCATATTTCTACCTAATTTTACAGTTAATGAAACAGACCCAAAGAGATTAAATGACGTGTCTAAATCACTCAGCTAGTAAATGGCAGAACAAAGGAATGAACTCAAGTCTTTGTGAAACTACTATTCTTCTACCTGTAAGAGGGAGCTTCATAGAAAGAGACCAGTATACTTTCTACTTTCTACATAACTGCCAGGGGAAATAGGCCTACAGATTTTTTTCATGGATTAGATCAGAATGGCATATGAAAGGATTTTTGCAAAATAGATATACAGTGAACACTTTGCAAAGTTAGGTTTCAAAAGGAGCAAAAACAGACACTGTGGACTTTCCGTATAACTTTCAGCATCGAGCTCACTCTCCTTGGGTTGGCACACAGGCGCTTCTGCTGCATTCCTGTCTCTTTCCATCCACTTACATTCCTCCATCGTTTGAGCAAACTCTCAGTTGTCTTGTACTGTTATGTCTCTGCTATTTCCTTTGCTTGGGTACCCTTCTCTTTATTTCATGTGCCAATTGTTGCTTGTACCTCAAAATTCAACTCACACTTTATTTCTCTGATTTCAATAATCGCTTTTCTGTGCACCTTGAGTAGTATAGTGAATAGATGATGGCCTCAGGTTTGAATTCTCGTTCTACTGCTTGCTGACATATATGATATTGGCCACATTACTTTTAACCCTTTCTAAGCCCTGGTTTTCCCATTATAAAATGGGAAGAATATATTGCCTCCTACAGAGTTATCATAGAGTGAATTAAGTAATGTAATCAATTTGTCTGTAAGAAAGTACAAATTTAATAAATGACAGCTGTTATTCTCGGGACTTCTGTCTTGTAACCATTGATTTATTTGGAGGTGATATTTGGAGGATTATTGGTACTTAGAAAGTAAATGAAATCTTTAAAACCTGCTAATAGTTAAGTATGTGAAATAATATTTCAGGATTTTGTGTAATCTTTAGAAAGTATTTAGGAACAAACTAGGATACAGAATTCCTTGGCTGTTAGGTATAGATCTTTAGGAGAGCCCTGGATACCTGGGATTTGGAGACTATTTAGCTCTCTGCTGCTGAAACATTTTTATTGCCCAAAATTTCTCTGGTCACTCTGCCTTTTTTCCTTTCAGATCACAGAGCTGAAGGCTGATTTCCAGTACCAAGAATCTCAGATGAGAGCCAAAATGAATCAGATGGAGAAAACCCACAAAGAAGTAACAGAACAATTGCAGGTGACTCTGCTTATCTTATGTGGTAGCGTTGGTATATTTAGCAGATAGTATTTTAAGTGATCCCCTCTTAGATTTCTTTTTTCTCAAAGTCTTGACAAATAACATTATTTCATGGTATGGGTGTCTTTATTGTTTCATTCATGGATGTTGCATCATCTTTTCCCCCAAAAAACAGTGAAATTAAAATATGTTCTTTAATTTTTTAATAAACCAGATGTGAGTCCAGATGTCTGAATTATAAATTCTGTTTATCCAGCCCATTAAGACACACCATAGTTTATGTTGCATAAAGCATCCTTTTGTAACTGTATTTCCCAGGAGGCTGAAGTACTCTGATTAACCTCCAGCAAATACTTCTAACTCCTGAACCAAGTCCTAGATATTTCTGTTGTTTTTTGCCTCCAAGAATTTGTTCACTTTTCCCTGATCCTCCATGTTGCCTGCCTTAGTATCTGCATGAAAACATATCCTATCACTGCTAAAATATCCTTTTTAACTGCTATCCATGGGTATGTATTTCTTCCTCCCTCTCCACACCCCCCCCCCCCCCCACAGGCCAAAAACCGAGAGCTTCTAAAGCAGGCAGCTGCCCTGTCGAAGAGTAAGAAGTCTGAGAAGTCAGGAGCTATAACCTCTCCGTGAGAGACCACAAGGAGGCTCCCAGCTACAGCAGATGGATTCCTGGGCTAGGTTGGCGACCGTGCTGTTTTCTGGGACTTGAAACTTTCTTAAGAAATCTCTATTTTACTAATTTCTCCTTCGTGTGATTGCAGTGGCTGAATGGAGACACCTGGTTTGCACTGTGTTACGTACGACTGCATGCTTGAGTATTTGGGGCTTCAAACTCTCTCCTTTCTCTTTCCTTCCCCCCCTTTTTCACAGTATTACTTTCTCTCTCTCTCTCTCTTTTTTTTTTCAATGTGGTGGTCACTGCTCAGTGCTATGTGCAGAAAGATTTTTGTGTGTCCATCATTGCATCCTGCCATGCCCATGAGCAAATCGTTTGGCATAAATTACATATCACTGCCACCCTCTGAACTTTCAAAACTGCCACCTTAAGTCTTGGTACAGTGGAAGAGACTTTGTCTCTCCAATAAACCTTTTGCTTCAGGGTATACTCTTGGGTTTTTTTCCAGGTATATTATGTATGAACTTTGTACTATGTATAGCCAGAGTTTTATTTATTTAAAAAAAAAAAAACTTTTTCTCGATAAAGGAATAATGGCAGCCTGGCTTGTTCTTGTAAGAGTGATGCTTCTTAAAAAAAAGTCCTACTGGAGCTTTTAGTAAAAGAATTAAGATTTTTCTTTCTTGTTACCTTGGAGTCTTAAAAACTGACTACTAAGGTGAAACAACTCAGTGCATAAGTATGGAGTTAAGTGCCTTTTGGAGGATTTCTGAGAAGAGCATTTAAAATACTTAAGGGAGGTAGCAAAGATTTGAGCAGTCTGTCTTTTAAGTGAGGACAGAAAGATTGTCCAGGTTGTACTGGACACTTCCCTCCCCCACCCCTTTCCTAATTGTTTTATGTGATTGATTTTAAATTCTCACACTGCCAGCCACTTCACTTCTTTTTTAAAAAGTACCCTTTACTTGCGTGTATCAGTTGTCATACTGGGCCATTGTCAGAGAAGGTGTTTTTATTTTAACATGAACAGATTCAAATGGGGATGTTTGAACTATAGATCATTTCTGGGGTCAGCACCAGCTCTTAAATATGGACTAGGCTCTGTTGGAAGAAGTAATATCATTAGATGTTCTCTGCACCCCTCACCTACCCCAGCCCATACACTCCATGCTTTTAATGGAAATATATTGAAAACAGGTACTTCTCAGAAGCAGGTTGGCCTCAGCCAGAATTGTTTGTGCCATGTTTTCCCTTCTGGATCTAATAGGCATGTGGAGAGGGGATAGATTTCCATTCTAGTCATACGCTCAGGTGTCCTCTGTGATGTTTGTGAAAGAAATTAGGAAAGTGTAGTATGCCATGAAGCAGTAAAACCAGCTACCTTGGAATCATTACTATAGGGTGGTATTAGAATTAGAGGTAACGGTGAGGACAGGCATTTGTACCTCAGTCTACCAAAATTGTAGCAGTGAGTTTAACTTGCTAGGCATTTCCTAGAAGCAGATGCTTGTAATTTGTGTTAGCATTGTCACAAGTAAAGCCATGCACATAATTGGACAGAGATGTGGAAATGGGTGGCTTCCTTCTGATAAGAATAACAATGGACCATGTTGCTTATTTGTCTTTGTAGTAGGGGATGTAATTTTCCCTTCTAAGCAAGGGAAATGGCAGTGCTAAATAGTTTTGTAATTTTTTTGAATGAGAAATTTTAGGTAAAGAAAAACTCAGATAATATTTTTTGGATGTGTTTACGTTGACTATGGGTAAAGATTGTGGAAAAAAAATGACAGTCATGGTTGTTTTTTTTAAAGACTTGAGAAATTCTGTTACATGAAGTGGCAATATAAAAACATATTTAGTTTTCTACTATGTCTTTTTTTAAGGTCTTGGCATAAAATATAAAGCAACTCCACACATTTTTCTAACTTTCACAAATTCCAAAAAGGGAAGGAAGAAACCTCAGTCTTGAAATTTTGGTTTTTAAAAATCATGACACTGTTTTACCATAAAATTGAGTAGCTAACTTTTGGTAACACCTTTTGTTTATTTGTATGTTTGTAATAATGGACATTTTAAAACACGGGAATGTTTTGGTTTGTACAGACTTTGACAAATGTGTGTTAATAAAAATTCATATTGATTCAAGTATAATTGTTGGGTTTTTTTTTTCTCTCATTTTTTGCTGGTTTACCAATATCTATATCCCATTATCTCCTTCCCTGCCCCCCCCTTTTTAACTTTATTATTATTTAAAAAAAAAAAAAGATTTATTTATTCATACAAAACTGGGGTACAGGCCAGAGATGTGGCGGGGGAGAGGATTCACCAGAGACAGAGCAGGGAGCAGAACAGGCAGAGCGACGAAGTACACTGCTGAGGGGAGCAGCGGGCAGGTCAGGAGAGGTCTGCCATGCCATGTGGATCTCCTCCAGAGCAGGCGGGGATCGAACTCATGTGGAAGTGGCTTAAGCTTTTTAGTGCTGTGCTTTAACCTGCTGAGCCACCAGGGAGGGCCCCTAACTTTATTTTTGAGTAGAAGAACTTGGATGTAGTCCAGAGGTGTGGGGGATCAAATCAGGCTGCAGTGGTGATAGTGCTGAGATCCAACCTCTAGGCCACCAGGGAGGCCTCCATTATCCCCTTTGACATAAAAAAAATTTATCCTGCTTATAAGAAAAATTAAAATAGTCTAACTATGGGGGCTCCTCCCTAGTGGAGCAGCAGGTCAAAGCACAGTACTATGAAACTATCCACAGTCTGCAGTGTGAGCTGGATCCCTGACCAAGGAGGTGACCCACATGGCCCAGCAGACCTCTCCTGCCTCACCCTCTGCTCCCCTCAGCAGTGTGTTTTAGTTGATCTGCCTGTTCTGCTCCTCAATAGGTCTCTGGTGAATCCTCTCACTCCTCCCCCACCCTCACCTTTGGCCTATAATCCCAGTTCTCATGCATACATAAATAAATCCTTAAAAAAATAGTCAAATTGGCCCTCCCTGGTGGCGCAGCGGGTTAAAGCACAGCACTGAGAATCTAAAGCCGCTTCCGCATGAGTTCGATTCCCGCCTGCCCCGGAGGTGACCACATGGTGTGGCAGACCTCTCCTGGCCCGCCCGCTGCTCCCCTCAGCAGTGTACTTCGTTGATCTGCCTGTTCTGTTCCCCACTCTGTCTCTGGTGAAGCCTCTCGCCGCCCCTCAGCCGCTGGCCTGTACCCCAGTTCTGTATGCACAAATAAATAAATCTAAAAAAAAAAAATAAAAATAAAAAAAAAATAGTCAAATTTACTAATAGGGAGTTTCACTTCCATCAGTGAATGAATTCATTCTCTTCTGTGATTTTATTTATTTTTTAAATCCTTCCTTTATTGTAGGTGTAGTGCTAGGCACTGAAGATACAGCAGTGGACAAAACAAAACAAAACAAAACAAAATAGTTCATGTGGGGCTTCTGCTGGTGTACAATTGGACAATACTATTGTTCTTGATTTCTATATTTGCCAGGATTCAAAATGTAATACAGGGTTGGTTTTCATAATAAAAGGCTTTTAGATGCCACTTCAAGAAAAAGAGGACATATGAATTTCAAATTTTGGTACTAGTTGATTTTTAAATTAATAACAGGTAACTTTAAGATATTTTCACTGTCATCCTGGTCATTCTATTTTGTAGACTCCATGACAACTTATTTTCTCTAAATTAAATGTAGTTTTACATTGTAGGTACTATGGCATGAATGTTTGTGTCTCTCCCTCACCAAATTAATAGGGTGAAATCTTAACACCACAGCCAGGAGCTGTGGGTCCTTTAGGAGGTGCTTAAGTCTTTACATCAGAGACCTCATGAATGAGAGTAGTGCCCTTATTTGGAGACTCCAGTGAGATCCTCCTTGTTCTTCTACCGTGTGAGGACCCACAAGACATCACCTACTGTACACCAGGAAGAAGGCTGACACCTTAACCTTGGACTTCACAGATTCCAAAGCTGTTAGAAATAAATTTATTTATAAGCTGCCAACAAGGACAGACTAAAATGCAGGCTACGTTTATGGCCACCTTTATTATATGAATTGTCTTAGTTTACCTATTTACTCAGTAGGGGGAAATATAGGATAAACAGACATTTAGTTTTTCAGGATGCTCTAATTTTTTCATAGTAGCCTCGAACTGGCACTAATCCAATAAGAAAATGGATAATCAAATTGTAGTATATTAATTTCATAAAATACCACCTGTTACCAAGAAACTAATCTCACCTTGAAGGGTACAAACTGTGAAAACTTCTTGTCAGCGCCTGTAGGGTAGTGCAGGGGTTAAAGTCTCCATGCTATGAAGCTACCAGCCACTGGGACAAGGGTTCAATCCCCTATCAGGGAGGTGACCCAAATGGCACAGCAGACCTCTCCTGTCTCCCCACTGCTCCCCTCAACAATGTATTTCAGTACATATGCCTGTTCTGCTCCCCACTCTGTCTCTGGTGAATCCTGTCACCATCACCCCCAGCAACTCTGGCCTGTACCCCAGTTCTTGTATAAATCAAATCTTTAAAAAACACACAACAACTTGTCAATTAACAAAAGGATATAATGCTGAAAAACTTCATCCTCTCAAATCAAGCAATAAGATAGACTAAACCATTGATATATATAACATCATGGCTCAATCTCAAAAACATTATGCTAATTAAAATAAGTCAAACAAAATAGGGTTCTATCTCTAAAGTCCAAGAATAGGCAAAACTAATCTGTAGTGATCAAAATCAGAAAATAAAACTGGGAAAAGGGAATGATTAGAAAGCACAGCTCGAGAAAACTTTCTGGGGTGATGATCCTGTTCTGGGTGACGTGGGTGTAAATGTGTCAAAATTTGTAATAACTACATTCTATTGTATGTCAATATACATCAACAAAAATACAGGGAAATACTCTTTAATCCTAAAAAAAGTATGAACATTCCTATACTTGAAACACATGCATGATATCTACGTATCTAGTTTGGATCCTCAGGGTGATAGGTTATGTGCAATTTAACAACTCTGTGGCAGTGGGCATGTACCCAGAGCTTCTAAAGAACACCCATGTCTTTACCCACTACCAAGGAACTAATGTCACCTTGAAGGATGCAAGCCATGAGGATTGTTTATGTCAGTTAACACAAGGACATAATGCAGAAAAACCTCATTCTCTAAAATCAAGGATTTTTAGAAAAAATGCTTTTGGAAAGATCAGTAAGAATTTAATATTCCACTCCTGCCTGGAAGATCCGAATAACTTTGACACAGAGAAACAGCCTCGATTTCCAAGCCAGGTGCAGAGCTTCAGATAAGGGGTTTTTAGATATAACACTCCACATTTATCTTCATGTAGTTTCCAAGGAAACAGGATCCTGAGTCCTCTTGTTAGCTCAGACCTGATGATAATCCCTTTACACACAGACTGGTGTGCTTTGAGGCTATCAGAACATTGCTTCTTTTAAATTTTACCTACATTCCTTCTTTCTCCCCAATGCTACAATAACTGACTCATTCTGTGCTTGGTGAGATGCCCCACGATTCCTCAGTGTGGAGTCTGTCTTGTAGCAATGTTAATAAACTTGTTAGATCATAAGTGGTCTTTATCAGGTGGATTTTATCTTGGGGGTTATGGATAACATTTGTAAAACAAAGTCACAGTGCTGGACAGGCATTTAATAATTGTTAGCTTTTTTTTTTTTTTTAACCCTTGCATCAATTCAGTAAGTATTCAATTGACTAGTATTTGACACACAGATATACACACACATAGATGGCCATGGAAGATACACAGATGTAAAACCACTTCTTATTTTGTATGGAAAAAGAAAACAATCACAGTATCTTCAAGTCCTAGGGGGAAAAACCCTATGCTAAACTTCACGTTGGAGTGAAATTTAAATATTCTGAATACTATCTTATGGGTTAAAAAACACAATTTAGGGCCCTCTCTGGTGGTGCAACAGGTTTTATCACCCTAAGAAGCTATCAGCCACTGCAGCATGAGTTTTATCCCTGGCCAGGGATCTGACCCACATGGCGCAGCAGACCTCTCCTGACCACCCACTGCTCCCCTCAGCAGTGTACTTTGTCAATCTGCCTGTTCTTCTCCATGCTCTGTCTCTGGTGAATCCTCTCACTGCCCCTGCTCCTCTGGCTTGTACCCCAGATCTGCATGTATAAATAAATAAATCTTAAAAAAAAAAAAAAAGAAGAAATGGTATGGTCTTAATAACCTGAATGAGCGCCCCCCAAATCATTGATGCTTTTTTTATAAGGGGAAAAAAATGTCTTTCTACATGCTTCAGTGACATTCTTGCTTACAGAAATTCTAAGGTTGACTGCAGGTTCATTCACCCATTTGTAGCTCCCTCCCAAACAGGCAAGCAGCTTCCTCTCTTTGCCTTTCCCCAGAGATTGCACCGTAGAATGGGTTGGGTGGAGTGACAACACCGGAAGCAGATACTGCTCTTCCCCCTCTGTACTCCCCATTTTGATCTCCTCCCAAACCAAAGTCCTACCTATGCCTTTCCATTTATCATAAGCTCACAAAATGTCTTTTTATGGGAACACTGAGTTCATCATACACTCCAAGTTACTAAAGAAAATCATTATTTAAATCTTTAGAGGTTAGTTACCCGAGAAATCCTGGTTTGGGATATAGATTAAAAGGCTATTTGGGCAGGATTTAGATGGAGGATGCATTTAGGAATATGGGAATGCGTTTTAGGGAGTAGAAAGACAGTGAAATTAGTTCAGTGTATGTAATTTTGCTGTCAAGTCTCAGAAAGCAAATTAACCTCTATGGTCTTAGTTTTTTCGTCTGTAAAAGGGAAAGTAATAACTTTCTTTGCCGAATTACTTCAACATTTAAAAGATGTATTGTTCTGAAGATAAAAATAGTTAGAAACTGTCCTTTGTCGTGAATTGCTGTGAGGATGCATACAAAGAACATGCTGAATATTATTATCATTTCATTGTTTGGATAAAAAGAGGAGTGTAGGGAGAAATGGTTAAGTGATTGTAAGCCATCAAAGTGCTCTGCAAATACGACCAAAACCCTGGAGGATGGGAGCAGAATGAGGAATTTCAGGGGTTTGGTAGGGACCTGAATTCCAGGGCTGTTGAATGCGCTGTTATTTGGGGCTGGGTTTTCAGAATTGAACAATATAGGAGGTTAGGGCTGAGGTCTTCGGTACAATTTTATGCTAATCGAAATCTCTCTCCTCCGGTTACCATGCTCTGGAGAGATACTACTCAGCCACCTAGCACAACCAACCCCAGCCCCCACCATATGACGTCACCGCCCCGCCCGTATCCCCACGCCCTAGGGCGTCCTGTTTCTAAGCGACAGTCCCCGGCGCTGGCCCCAGGGGCGCCTGCGCACTGCGAGGCGGGCCGGGCCGGGGCGGACGCGTGCGCGCTGCGTGCGGGTGGGGTTAGTGCGCACGCAGCCTCAGCTCCTTCCCCGCCCTTTCTCTTCCCGGTTTCCCCGTCAGTCTGCGGGTCCGTCCTGACGGCTGTTTCCGGTCGGAGCTCAGTGCTGGGCGAGTCGGTCTCAGCTCCCATCATGTCTTACGGTCCCTTAGACTTGTACCGTAACCCGGGGCCCACCGGGCCCCAGCTCCGGGACTTCAACAGCATCATCCAGACATGCAGCGGCAACATCCAGCGGATCAGCCAAGCCAGTGAGCTGGGGGACCGAATTGGGGGGCGGGGGCGGGGAGCTAGGGCGATCCCGAGGACAGGCCTGGGAGAGACTGCCGGGACGCGGAGCCCGGCCGGGGCCACGGCCAAGGCCATTCCTGAAGCTGTCTTGGGCTGTCCACTCTGGGAGTGGCGACTGCCATCCCCGAACCTGTCAGGCCCGGGGTCCCTGAGAATCCAGAGCCCCAGCTGAAGCTCGACTTTCTTCTGAGGAGTTCTGCCCTCGGAGATGGGGCCGAATGCTCCGACCTGACAGCCTCAGGATGGGAGGGGGTGTGCCACTTCGAGAGCAGAGCAGTGAGTGAGTTGACTTGGCGCAGTGGTCAGCCGAGTTTTTCCTGTCATCCTTCCTCCCACCCACCTACCTCTCCTTCCTCTTTGGCAGATTGATTGGGAGTTGTTTACTGACTCTGGCTTTAGGTTTACATTCTGCTAAGTCTGGTTCCTTGGCAATCAGCAACTTTCAATTAAGGGAAGTGGACAGTGCGTGTGTTTGGGTGACTTAATACACAATTCTTTCTGTAATGAAATTGGAAATCAGATACAATGACTGGTGTTTGAGGGCTGAGATGACTTTAAATAAAAAGAATTAACCGAAAACATTCCAGCTGACCTTATTTTGTCTTTTGTAGCAAAAGATTTGCATAAACTTGGTTTTTAAACCACGAGACTTTTCTTTCCTTATTTAGCTACTCTTTTGAATAAAACCGATACATAGAGAAACTCAAGGACTTGGCTACAATCACTTAACAAATAGGACATAGTCAAGCTGATGGTGGATTTCAAAATGTTTTGGCTTGTCTTAAAACTCCTTTTCTACAGGGTCTGAGTTAGACTGTTATAGAATGAGTCAAATACTGTTTGGTCTTTGTGCCTGAAAATCATCTCAGATCCCCTGCAACTACTTTACTTGGCAAGAATGGTAATCATCACTGTTATTATTGTATTTTTGAGCTTGGTTTTACTCTGTTAATAGGGAGACCTAGTTGGTCCTGCATTACAATTATATCCTATCTTTTAAAGAACAGTTTATCAAAATGTAGAATTTAAGAATCAAAAGCTTCTCCTTCTTTGTTTTAATATATAAAGGGCAGGTTTATTATACAAAGGGAGAGAAGAGTAAAAGACACCTGCACAGACATAAGCAGGCAGAAGGAGCTGTCCCCAAAAGGGACAGGTTTGTTAAAAGAGAGGCCTGCGTAGTCACAGGCAGACAGCCTTGGGAGGAGAGCTGCCTCGCTGCTTTGCAAAGGGAGGTTGGTGAAGAGAAGCACCTGCATAGTCACAGAGAGGGAGAGTTGTTGCCTAAGAGATGAAGTTTCTGATGGGAAGAAATTGAGACTGTGATTTGGAAGTGGAAAGAAGACTATGAAACCTGTTAAAATCCAGAAATTAAAAAAAAAAAGAATATGACCATTCATTCGAAAGCATAGATAGCTCTTGGTGTTCCAGTTTCCTTTTGGGAGGGAACTGTGACACTAGTTAGATCAGAAAATTCTGGTTCAAGACAAAAAAGCTTCCTGTTGAGACTAAATCTAATATTAATATCTATTTGTGAAATACTCATTCTATGTGTATTTGTTTGAGTATAAGTCTTGATAGTCTATCTACATGAGTTGTAGATAGAAAAGTAGATTTAAGTTACTTTAGCTAGAGTGGTAGACTCTTACTAGAAAGTAGGATTGGAAAGGTAAGTTGGGGCCTGGACATAAAGGACTTTTTAGTACTAAAGGGGCTAAAGGGGCTTGGAGTTAAATCTTTGGGAATTGAATTTTTTGTAGTTAATTCTTTGTAGATTGAATTGGAAGGAAGAGACGAGAATTGGAGATACCAGTTGAGGACTGTGAAATAAAAGAAGGAATGGATGGGCCCTCCCTGGTGGTGCAGTGTTAAAGTCTCAGCACTATCAAGCTATGGCCAGCCACTGCAACTTGAGTTTGATCCCCACACGTCACAGCTGACCCTCTCACGTGGTACCCGCTGCTCCCCTCAGCAGTGTTTTTTGGTATATATGCCTGTTCTCCTCCCCACTCTGTCTCTGGTGAATCCTCTCACCACCTGCATCTCTGGCCTGTACCCCTGTTCTTGTTCATATGCATAAATAAATAAGTCTTTGAGAAAAAAAAAGACGGAATGGATAGGAAAAGTTCTTTGGTGATACAATTGTTAGATTTAGCTATTAAGGGGCCTCCCTGGTGGCACAGTGAATTAAAATGCAGCATTATGAAGCTATACACATGAGTTCGATCCCTGGCCAGGGAGGTGACCCACATGGTGCAGCAGAACTCTCCTGTTTCACCCGCTGCTCCCCTCAGCAGTGTATTGCAATCTGCCTGTTCTGCTCCCCACTCTGTCTCTGGTCAATCCTTTCACCCCTGCCCCTTCTGGCCTGTACCCCAATTCTTGTATGCATAAATAAATTTAAAAAAATTTTAGCTATTGATTGGGCATTGGTCTCAAGTGATCATTAAAGTCAACCGGTAATATTACTAGCTAACATTTGGGTGTATACTTTGTGCTGGGCATATGAAAAGTGCCTTAATATATTATCTTACTTAATTTTATAACTATTCTGTAAATTAATTATAAGATTTCCATTTTGGGGGTTAGAAACAGACTAAAAAGGTTAAATAATTATCCTGCAGCCAAATGGCAGATACTGAATGTGGAACTGCCTCATCTGACTGCCAACTAGCCTTTCTACAACTTTTAATTAATATTACATTTTTGTAACACTTAACACTTCAATTTACAAATAATTTCTTTTTGTTCTACTGTCCATAGGAATACCTGAAGCTGTGGAGCATTCTCTTGTTAGTTCTTTTGAAGCAGGGGATATAACTTACTGATCTCTGTTACTAGAACTTATTCCAGTCCCAAGCATATGGTAGATTTATTCAGTCATTCATTCTCAAACAGAAATTCATTGAGCACCTATTACATGCTGAGGATAGAATAATGAACAAGACAGACAAAATTCTGTCTTGTCATACTATGCCCTGATAGTGTAATTGTGTATTGCACACATATGTGTACACACACCTGTATAACTAATATCAAGTCATAAGTGCTGTGAAGAAAAATATAACAGGGAGGCCCTCTCTGGTGGCGCAGCAGGTTAAAGCACAGTAGTATGAAGCTGTCCACAGCCAACTTCAGCACAAGTTCAATCCCCAGCCACATGGTGCAGCAGACCTCTTCTGACCCACCTGCTGCTCCCCTCAGCAGTGTACTTTGTCAGTCTGCCTGTCCTGCTTCCCACTCTGGTGAATTTTCTCACCCCTGCATCTCTGGTCGGTACCCCAATTCTGTATGCATAAATAAATAAATCTTTAAAAAAAAGAAAAGAAGAATATAACAGGGAAAAGGGACAGAGAGTGAGGAGAGAAAGAAGGTGCATGCACTGTATTTATTGGATCAGTTTGTCAAGGAAGGCCTCCCTAAAGAGGTGACATTTGGTAGACGCTTTAATGACACGAGGGGAAGCTGGGTGAGTAGTTGGGAGAGGGCATTCTAGGCAGAAGGACTAGCGAGACCAAAGTTCTTGGTGTGTTCAAAGAATAGTAAGTAGGCTAGTGTGGCTGAGCTGTAGTGAGGAGAGTGTAGTAGAAGACACACACGTCTTGATGCTTCATAGATTTGAATGACTGACGTTTTTCTGCCATCTTAGAACTCTTCCTCCTTGTTCTGTGTAGTACCTACCACATCCTATGACCCCAGGCAGTGTGAATTGGAATTTATCCCTTGACACTGTTTGGTGAAGAACTGAGAATTTTAAATTGATAGGCTGGCATTGCTCTGACCCCGTTATCAGGCTAGTGCCTATTCCCCCGACCTTTCCAAGACCTGGGCAGGGTGGCTAGTATCCATTCTGCGTGTCGCTTCCCAGACACACAACCATATTCATACAGCTCTGCAAGGAAGGAACTGTCCCTGTTGAACGTTTGAGACAGTACCTGTCTCTCTTTCTCACCTACCAAGCCATAGACATGAGTTTGGAATTCAGAGCAGATCAGCCTGAAAACTGGCAGGCCGCTGTGTGGGTTGTTACAGGTACAGGCAAGGTTGACTGCCCAGTATGAAAGGTTGCTATCAGTGTGTGCAGAGTACAGAGGAAAAATAGTTGACTCTGTCCGTTGCGGAACAAAGGGTCTGGGCAAGTATTGCTGAAGCAGATAGAGGAAATAGCCTCCGAGTTAACTTGAAAGAGATTAAAGAACAACACTTCCGTTCTTTAGTGTTGCTCATTTGTTGATATGATTTTGTTTACTGAAAACAAAGTGAAAAGCTGTTAAACTTTTAAAATGGATGATCATGATCTCTTGGGGGTTTTTCTTTCAAAGTTATTTTCGTATGTGCCACTTGCTTTTTATTTCAATGCCACCTTAAGTCTTCATCTAAACACCTGTATCCCAGTACATAACCTTAAGTCTCCATGATCTCAACATCTGGATTCCAGCAGCATATTCTCAGTGCCCCTGTGATTGCTGTTATTCTCGTCTTCCTGGTAATGCTCTCAGCCATGTGTCTAAAATCCTATTTTCTTTTTCTTTCTTAAAGATTTATTTACTTATGCATAAATAATTATAGAACTGGGGTGCAGGCCGGAGGTCCAGGGACAGTGAGAGGAGTCACCAGAGACAGAGTGGGAGCAGAACAGGCAGATTGATGAAGTACACTGCTGAGGGGAGCAGCGGGCGGGACAGAAGTATGCTCTGCACCATGTGGGTGACCTCCCTGGCAGGGGGGATGCACTGCAGCTAGCTTCCTAGCTCCCAGTGTTGTGCTTTAACCCCCTGTGCCACCAGGGAGGGCCCCTAAAACCCTATTTTCATGATGCTACTCAACCCAGGAACCTGCAGTGGCACTCTGCTGCCTGCTCTCCCAGATCGGAACATTGCCTTGCTTTCATTTTCTCGCCATCCTAACTAAGATTGACCATGTTTTACACTTCTCATTCTGCTTTACAGTAGGCAGGCTG